GTGGTCTTCCACTGCGAGGATGATCAACTGTCCGTCCTGTCTCCCTGTAGCGCTGTCTTAGGCGTCTCACAGTGCGGACATGGCAATTTATTGCCCTGGCCACATCAGCAGTCCTCATGCCTCCCTGCAGCATGCCTCCCTGCAGAATGCCTAATGCACGTTCACGCAGATGAGCAGGGACCCTGGGCATCTTTCTCTGGGTGTTTTTCACAGTCGGTAGACAAGTCTCTTTAGTGTCCTGCGTTTTTAGAAYTGTGACCTTAAATGCCTACTCTATGTAAGCTGTTAAGGTCTTAACGACCATTCCACAGGTGCATGTTAATTAATTGATTATGGTTAATTGAACATGCATGGAAAGCATTGTYTGAACCCTTTACAATGAAGATCTGTAAAGTTATTTGGGTTTTTACAACATTATTGTTGAAATACACTGTCCTGAAAAAGGGACGTTTCTTTTTTTGCTGAGTTTATATATATATATTTGTCCTAATACTAAGTTTAATCCAAACAGATACACAGACAGACCTGTGCAGCTCCAAGGGGAGGTACCCTCAGCCTCTTCATGGCCTTCTGCCTGTCACCACCTTCCAACTCTGTTGTGACCAGCGCCTGAGAAACAACTGAAAGGATTTAGAGATTTGTCCTGTTCCTCTTTGACGATACCAACGTCTTTCAGAATCGCAACACTGTAGTAGCAATCACATTTATGTGAATATGAGCAAGACGAGATGCATACAGTAGTTGTATTTGCCCCTGGACAAATTCAATACTCTACATATAAACAATTGTGTGTGCACCTCAGTCTCGGAGATAAGCTGGGTGATTTTCTTGCATGTGTAAAATGGAGCCACTTCAACATGGGCCACCCTCCAGTCGGCCCCCCTTGACGTCTCCAAAATCTTATCATGCTTCTTTAGGATCTTCCTGAAACCTGTGAAGTTTAGGTTCTGTTGAGACATAGAGGGAGGGACAGAACAGTGTTTGATGAAATACCAGCTGATTGAACACTTGATGAAAAATGGGCCAGCTGATGAAATGCAGACTGGATGTGAATTATAAGTTTATTGCACTGACTGCACTAACCCTAAGAACAACCTCCTTTCATTGCTTAAAAGACTAAGTGAGAATAAGCTGTGGACATCCATGTTATAAAGTTAATGTGGTGAATCATTTTAGCTCATAGCAGTGTGTTCACACATCCAGTGGCTGTAGAGCAACATTAGAAGTTGTAGTAGCATTAAAGTGGTTTCTGTCATTTATTCACTTCTTATCACTCTGGTTTAGTTTCCATGACTTCATTGCTAAATGCCTTATTACTTTCACCAGCTAATCACTGACATATATTTGGTGATAGGTAGGGGTGTACATTGGATGTTGCTGCTAGTCCTCTATGGTTTCATAGTTAAAAATAAGACGTTGACATTTATTTCTCTTTAGTTATGGTAACACTGCATCTGTATTAGCATTAAGAAAAAGACACAAACAAATTATTGGCCCTGAATTTCTAAATAACTGTTGCATCTCAAACCATAATTATGAACAATAAATAACTTTGTAATAACTCAATAACTGTGTGTCAACCTATCTGTACTAATTTAATTGCTTAAATAGGAATGATTATTATGTTGTATATATGAACAAAAAAGCAGTTTGCTTTCATTGAGCCTAGAAAAATTAAATCAAGCAGTAAAATTATGTCCCTTGAGTTTGGTTATATGTCTGTGTGCGTTGAGATGCTGTGTGAGTGCAAGAATGTGCACCTGATAGTTCTGCAGGAGTATAAGGCTGAGGTAGAACTCGGAGAATGCCAGCTGCAGATCCTTGATGTTTCTGTGTTTACATCGTTCCTGCTGCGACAGGGCAAACACTGTCTTCCTCCTCCTCAGGCCGCTACTGTTAACCACGCTCTCTCTCTGGGCGTCCAGCGAGGACTGCAGCTCATTCTGCAGTGTGGCGAAACGCCGCTGAGCCTCAGCTAGCTTTTCTAAAGGGGTAGTAGTGGAAAACGGTTTTAAAGACAGAAAAGATTATATCCATTTAACATAAGTTCTACCTCTCAAATACATTCAGAACTTTATTAGGAAGGCCACAGTCACTTCATCACATTATTTTTACAGATTTGTCAGCTGCACATTAATGCTGTTAAGCTCTATTAGTTGCAGCCATTACCAGAGTAGAAGGTGTTGATCTTGGCCAGTTCTTTTTCACATGTCTGAAAGAACTTCTCCTCAAACTTGGCGTAGTATCTCTTAACTGTATCCTCATCTGTGACTGTGAGAAGATAAGATTCATTAGATTGATGAACAAGACCTTAATGAACCTCAATTTAAGATGGGAAATAAACAGGGGACTTTGTGTACAGTTATGTTTGTGTCTTCCTCTGCTTTATCACACTTCATACAGCAAAGCCCTATCCTGCTCTGACCAACAGGTGGAGCAGCGAGACAGCAGCAGCTTGTACTGCTTCCAGATGTCAATGAAGTTCTCCATTGTTGTTTCTGTAAAAACTTGATATTTTATCAAAGAAAGGGGTGGCAGGAGCACTGCTGGTGTCCCTCAAACCACCAGTGCTCATGGAAGGGAATATGTCAAACCATTTTTTGGGAAAACTTGTATCCAAAGAATAATGGCATGAAGAATCCAGGTCCAGGCACTCAAAATGGTTATATTTAAAGGTACAGTGTGTAAAATTTTGTGATATCTAGTGTTGAAGCATGTTGCAGCTGAAGACCCCTCACCTCACCCTCCCTTTCCAAACATGAAAAAGAACCTTTGGCAGCCTATAGTCATCATAAAAACTCAAAAGGTGTTTAGTTTGTCCAGTCTGGACTAATGTAAAAAACACAGCGGCCTCCATACAGAGTACCCCCTCAATGTAAATATAAAGTATTTAAATATAAAGGGCCTTTTCTGGGGTAAAGGAAACTACAATACATACAATTTAGATGAAACAAACTAGTGAAAACATCACAAGGATTATTCTACATGAAATGTCTGCCAATAGATCCCTTTCACCTAAATCTTACACACTGGACCTTTAAATGGAATTGACACTTTAAAGTACACTAACACATATCGGCTTATGCTTTCATCAGGGTGTACTGAGACAAAGATTAATTAATATCAGTCACTAGAGGTGTACAGGGTGAAAACATGAAGTATTTTACCTGGCCTCTAGGGGCATGACACAATGAACAAAATGAAAAATGGAGGGAGTCCCCTGATGGCCAGGAAAGTTAAAGTAAGACATTATTTGTTATAGCTTGTTCACTGTGACAAGAACTAAACACTCCATAAAAACACAAAATATTTGATATCTGCTCATTGTCCTTTATCAACAATTAAATAGAATTGAATCCCATAGTTTTATTCACCACTGCAACAGGTGTCCATGACACTGCTCTGTGACCACACACACACACACACACACACACACACACACACACACTCTAACTCTAGTGCTACAACATCTGACAAAGCCCACATGAATAAAGTAACACATTAAAAATTATAATGATGAAGATCTAAGAAGAAAAAGGAGGGATAAGAATAACTATTTTTAACAGCTAGTCATAGTGACATCCTGATGTATGAGAAGTATTAGTTTGTTAAAATGTACAAAGGTAGGGTTAGTTCAGGGAACTTACTATGTTTGTCTCCAATAATCACTGAAGAACACAACACAATAGTTTTCAGATTGTTTGTGTCCCTCACAGAAAGATAGCTAAAGCAGCTTATTAACTCCCATCAAAAGATGAATTCAATGATGTAGTCATTGGAATAAAAAGCTATGTTCTAGAAGAGGCTGCACTCTTTGCTTGTCCTGTCCTACTATAATCTGTGTTAACACTAGCAGGCTGTCAAACATTGTACTTGTTAGGACTTGTAATGCTGGGATGAAGACAACATAATAGTTGTGTCTCTTGAGATAGTCATTGTGTCAGATACTGTAAGTGCAGACTTCACTCTACATTCCAACCAATCACAGCTTTCCATCATTCTCCACAACTGAGCTGAATTTTGTCCTTTTCCATCACATGGAAGCAATTGTCAACTGTCCTCTCAAAACGCCCGGCTAATGGGGCCATAGCTGGTAAGTGTTTGCCATGTTATTAGACTCATACTGTTAAATGTGGTTTGATCCCAACATAAGAGCTGATCATTTCAAGACTGTCATCAGGCATTATGCTCTTTATGAGGTTATCTCAGTCAAAACATTTTTGGTGACATTCAGCAGCTGTCATTACAATTCTGTACCATGTTTTCTCTAATGCTTCTTCAGTGTCACTGAGCCCACTGTTATGTTCCCACCCCCCCCCAAAAATGATTGATTGATTTGATTGTGTGATCAGAAATGCTATAATATTATACAGTTATAGTTACCCCAGTGTTATGGTAAAAGTTTTAAGTGCTGTTCCTCCCATTAAGATGCCTTTTTTAAAGTTTCACCGGAACAGAATCCTGTAATCTTTATAATTTTTGATTCCAAGTCTTTCAGACTGGAACTGGGAGAGAGTCTAGAGTCTGGTAAACACTAATTGTACATTGGACACAGAGAACCTGTGTGTCTAACCACTAACATGCACCCAGTGTCATGTCAACAACAACCAAACAGCAGACCAGGCAGGTGGTTTTGAGTCAGGCTGCACTCACTCAGTGATTCACTGTTTTTCAGACTGTTTCTGGCTGCTTTTAGACAAGACACCAAATTAACTAAATTGGAGTGTCCCAGCCATTCACTGCCCCCTTCACCCCCACCCTCCCCCTTTCTCACCAGCACACCAACACAAAAACAGCCACCACAGTCAGACTACAGTAATCTCATTATCCCTTGTCAGCCTTATTCTGCTCTTTTATTTCTGTGTTTAAGCTCATGCCATCATGATTATAATCATTATTACCATTATGACATGTCTATCTCTCAGTAATAGGCTGTACTTCCCATTGGTCAATTGGTGTTTTTTGGGTCCATTATTCAGCTACACCCTCCTTTGCTCTCAGTTACACACACTTACACTTGGAATCCACCCAGTGCAGAGGTGTGTTCTGCCATCATGGCTCTGAAGTAGTAAGAAAATGACATAGTTTGCCATTTAAAAGGATAATGGCTGGTTTTATTTATCCTACCTTTCTCTGGGAGTTTCGGCATATACCTCAATACAGCAGCCGTGAATATCATGTGAGGTGCTCAGAGCATTAAAAATAACATAAAAATGTCTTTCTCTCTTAATCTTTCTTTCCACTACCCCATTACTGTGAATAATAAACATAATATAGAACATGCTGTCAAACTTTTAGGAACAATTCCCTTCATAGAAAGTACTTTCCTACGCTTAAATAAAACTAGCTAATAAATAAAACTAGCTAATAAATAAAACTAAAGCAATTATTATAATTCACTTCTTCTTTGGCATTCCAGAACTGCTGTGTTGTACTGCCACTGGCAAGCAGTGTTTTTAAATAGCGAAGAATTGATTTTCAGTAGTGTAGTGTAGATTGCTGGTTCTTAAAGGTGCTGTTGCACTGTTGTTTAATATTGTTTCAGGTAAATATAAATACAACGGTATTTTATTTTTGTAGACTGTCTTATTCAGTTTTGACTCTAAAATTAGATAATATGGCATTCATTATCTGTCTTTCAAAGGATTCAAACATTGCTAGGTCAAACAACAATGATAGCAATCATCACTTCCATACAGGGTACATAGCATACAGCTGTTAAAGAGATGTTGGTATTTTTTAAATGCACTGGTAACAAATTTTGTTTGGGACTAGGAAATTGGGTGATCGTGGAATGTTTGTAAAGCAGGAGAATATGAACCAGAGAGTGATCAAAGTATGAAAGCTACATGAGGAACTGTGCAATAGTCCTCAACTAAGCTGGGGCAGTGGTCCTGTATGTTTTCATCCCTAGTAGGGCAGTGAAGCGCTGTCTGTATTTTGGCTGTTGATGCCAGAGGTTTGCCCTAAAGAATCAGGAGAGTCTGGATGTTTCATGCTGATTAACTGCTCAGCCAGTTTTTTTGATGCCTCACTTACACAGGCCTGAGGTGGAACTTAAATGCAGACTGACAGACACAGTGATGCAGGTTCCACCAGAGCTGAATGGAAAGCACAGAACTGGTCTAACAGGCAACATGCAAAACGTCTGTGTTCTGAGGGGAACAGTAATGCATTATCTGGTGACAGCAAGGACTTAGCCTATAAGAATTATGAGCCTTTCATTACATGGAAGTGGAAAACATGGATTCTCTCAGACTCACAGCATCATTTACACACTTGTCTATTACTTCAAATACTGTAGCAAAATCCAAAAGGTATGTTTCTACCATTCTCAAGTTTTACCATGCAGTGATTAAAGTTTCAGCAAACACTCTACAGCGATAAATGGGTCATTTTGATGTCTGTATTCTCAGCATTTAAGAATTAAAGGGATAGGGGTGGGTGGAGTGGACTCAAACACTTCACGCACCCATCCATCGGCATAACCCTACCCTAGCCCTAACCCTGACATACTATTCATATAATAGCCTACATATTATGTGGCATAGTTGCATTTTTTCTTAGTTGTTCTTTCCAAACTTTATACCAGCCAATAATATATATAACTACTCCAAAACCCAGTAGATGAGACTAATTGTACTACCTACTCTCAAAACAAATGGCCATGTAATTAAAATGGAATTAAATGATCATTGTCATAGCTTTAATTGAAAACTGTGCTCCTTCCACTTCATTAGTAAGGGCTAGTCACAGACTAGACTTTTACACAAAACCTGCAGCAATCTTCAATGGATTTTTGCAGTAACACTGTCTTTCAAATGCTATGCAAGCAATTACAGATGGTGTATAAAGTTGCTGTGTTCAAAAGAATTTTGTAACTTTAGTTTGAAGTCAAATAATCTTTCATGGGAGTGACAAAGAGAGATACGATAATGGAAACAGAATGAGTAAAGGAAAAAGAAGTAGATCATGAGGGAGAGCATAGTACATAGTAAGGTGAAGGGATAAGTAGAATAATATATTGTTTGTGGGATTGATTTAACACGCTTCTGTTCATGTGAAACAATAATATCCAACATTTCTAAAATCTGCTTTTGTCTCAAAGTCCACTGTCTCAAT